TTATTCTTATTGTATTTTTCTAGTGCTCAAATAAATCACTTATACGATGTCTAAGATTCAGTCTATTATTTTATAATTAAAAAAGTATGCAGTGGTATGTATAATGACTAAAATAGTTTGTAGAACCCTTACATTTGTAAGGGTTCTACATATAGACATAGTCTCAGAACAATGGCTGCAGGAATCTCATTTTTCATGTTATCTTCTTCAAATTTGAAATATAAACTCATGAGACATGTGACTTTCAACCCATTACTTTTCTGGATTGCCCCAGGACTGATTTTGTGTATCTGTATATGAAAAAAAATAATAATTCAGCGTGCTACAATTTTTTTCAAGGCACTTCAGTGTCTATAACTTTTTATCTTTTTGAGCATTATCAACTCTGGATGATGGATAGTAAAGCCCAAAGGATTGTGTGTGTCGCACACTGTTGTCAGGAACTATTACAATTTTAAGTTAGGTAGGTCATTTTCAGCTGTGAGTCCCCAAATGGGGGGTGCAGGTGTCTGGCAATCAGAGTATGTACTTGACATACAAAGCTAATTCTTTTTTTTTTTTTGTTTACTACTCAAAGAATATTCTTATTGTATTTTTCTAGTGCTCAAATAAATGACTTATATGATGTCTAAGATTCTGTCTATTGTTCTATAATTAAAAAACGATGCAGTGGTATGTATAATGATTAAAATAGTTTGTAGAACCCTTCAATACATTTGGTGGCTATTTTTTGAGCATTATCAACTCTGGATGATGGATAGTAAAGCCCAAAGGATTGTGTGTGTCGCACACTGTTGTCAGGAACTATTACAATTTTAAGTTAGGTAGGTCATTTTCAGCTGTGAGTCCCCAAATGGGGGGTGCAGGTTAACAGTCCTTAAAACAGGTTTAGCTGATTTCAGTTTCTGCCTGTAGGTCGGTATAAGATTAATCAAACAGTGATCAGAGAGCACCAAAGCTGCTCGTGGGACAGAGTAATATGCATCTTTTATTGTGGTGTAACAGTGATCCAGTATATTACTGTCTCTGGTGGGACATGTAATATGCTGCTTGTATTTTGGCAGTTCACGGGAGAGATTTGATTTGTTAAAATATTCAAGAATGATTAAAATAGAGTCTGGGTACCTATGCTCCATTTCAGTTATTTGTTCGGCCAGCTGTTGCATCGCGGCGCTCATGCACGCGTCCGGAGGAACATACACATTAACGAGAATGAAAGAGGAAAACTCCCGCAGCAAGTAGAAACGTTTACAGTTTATGAAGAGTGCCTCTAAGTTAGGACAGCATACCTTTTTCAGCATTGTTACATCTGAACACCAACTTTTGTTGATGTAGAAACACAATCCACCACCTCTCGTTTTCCCCGTTAACTCCGCGATGCGATCCACTCTGAACAGCTGGTAGCCCGGCTGATGAAGCGAGTTATCCGGAATGGCTTCACTCAGTCAGGTTTCAGTGAAGCACATTGCAGCAGAGTTTGAAAAGTCCTTGTTGGTGCGAGAAGATGTTCATCCGTTTTGTTAGGAAGGGAACGAACATTCGCGAGATGAATGCTTGGGAGCGCAGTTCGAAAGCCGCGAGTGCGTTTCCCTCTTCTGCCTCTGCACGTGCGTTTGAACAACACAGCTGTACCTCTGACTAGAATGTCCAACAAAATGTCAGAATAATCAAAAACCGGAAAAAAAAAATTGTCTGGGATGTGTTGCTTAATGTTAAGGAGTTTGTCTCTGGTAAAACTTATAGAAGAAGAATGACAAAACACATAACAAACTCAGAGACAAATTAGCTGCATGGCTGTTGATTGGAATGTCTACAGAGAGTAGTTTACATTTAATTTGGGATTTGCGGCCATCGTTACAGCAAATGCCAAATAGTAGTGACTGTAGAGACCACCTCTGCATGGGTGGATTAAATTTTGAAAGTCAGCTCTTGCCTAACGTATCATGCAAGCTATGTTTCCAGATGTATAATTGCCTGGACTCCAAATGCTATCAAAAGAGGGTACACTCCGCCCTCTACATGAGGAATGTCAATGTTTCAAATGCAATATTTCTGCTCACTGGTCAATTACAAAATATCCATGCTGGAAAAGCATGTGTGGTGATGATCAAAACATTTTGGCTCTGCCTTGACTGCAATGCCAGAACAATGTATTTCCATAACATGTGAAGAACTTCCAACACTTGTATGCTTTTAATATTTCTGTGCTGGATCACCGCTTGTTGGGACTAATAAAGACTAATAAAAACAATTTGGTCGTTTTTCATGCTTGGCATCTGTTTTATATAGGGATGCTCTGTAAATAATTAAAACACTTTAGCCTGGGGCCTGCTGGGAAGGCATTAATGTAGTGCACTGTGGATTTGTGAACGATGAGAGGATTAAGATATTCCAAAATGAGCCTTGAGGTCAGGGTCACTTCATATGCAGTGACTGACTGCATAGCTCCATTGAAATCCATTCTCTATGGATAGATTCCATATTAAATTTAATTAAGAACTAAGTGAAGAAATAATTTGGCATTTGACCAGAATGCTTACAGCTGAAATTAGAGAAATAGGCATAGTGCTATGTGTCATATTCTCTATTGGTGGTAATTATATACATTGAGAATGAATCCTCTAGTATACTCACCTTTGTTTTTTACTCATGGTTAAAAAGACGGGTTAACCAGCTGAGGATATGTGATAGACAGAGTGAAGAAATTAACTGGAAAATAAGTTTGTGTCAAAGCAGGTGGAGCCCCAGGCCACATATTATTACATCATCACTGTTGACCAATACCAATTCGAAGGTGTTTAACAACTGGAGCAAAGTCTCCTGAAAGTGCGCACAGGTAATGTACTTCAAACCACGAGAACACTTTCAAAAGCAACTGAAAAATGTGAATGTTTTGTTCAAAATTACATCACAGTCTTTCGTTTAAATTTTTGTCTTTACATCAGCCCTGACATGAAACATTCTGAAATATTTTTAATAATATACTTCATTTATGTTTCTTTATTTAAATAAAGAAACTGCCCTCTGCCCTGACGTTCCAACTGTCACATTTAAAACCATAGCAACTGATATTAAGGGATATTCAATATTTCTGCAGCTGTAAAAATGGGATACATGCATGGTTGCATAAATTGTTGATGTAAGAAGTGTTGAAAGGGCTCTTACCTTGTCACCTTTTGGGCCAGGTGGACCCTAATTACAAAAGAGAGAGAAAAAATTAAAAGTTTGCTCAATAAACTGTAGTAGTATTAATACTAAAAATAGTATTGTAGTATTGTCATTGTATAATATTCCCATACATTCTATTCAGTTCATTCAAATCATATGATTCCAATGTGAAAACATCACCTAAGAAGTAAATGTTTTTGTATCTTAAGTAGTGGGTCATTCCATGTCAAATCAAGCAAATTTCAGAAACCTCCCCGGCTATTTTTTTTTTCCTCTGAAGAAAGACAAATACTGTACAAATAGTGATGAAAGCCAATATATTATATAACATAGATGAATATTGACTGAGTAATCCACTATTTTGTAGAGGGGGGGGGGGTCAAAATGACAATTTTCACCTAAGATTTGGAGCCAAATTACAGGGGGTAAAAATTACTTTAGAAAGATGACAGCATCATTATGTTATTTTTACAAAGAGGTTGGTATGTATATTAGTATAATTTGTTGACATCAGCAATCTTTGTTGCATTATACGGCAATGGTAACAGTTAAGTTCAAAAATGAGAAAAAACACTTTTCAAGTTTTCAGTATGGTTCAGTTCAAAAGATATTGGGATCTCAGTAAGAACCCAAAAAGTAAATTGTTACATTTTACACATTTTCTGTGGTCAAAAACAAACATGGGTAACTTTGCATTTAGCTGATACTTTTTTATGCTAAAAAGGAATGTCTGAAGAACAAATACTGTTGAAACCATACATGTATCTTGTATCCTTTTTTCAAAACAGTTGCACAGAACATACCTGTCTGAGTATCACAAATATATATAAGGGTGCCAATACCACTCTGAAATACAGGTGCAGCATCTCTCAAGATCAGTTCCAGTTTTTCTTTAGTAGTTTGTGTATCAGTAGGCAGTGACTTGAGGTTTTTGATCTCGTTCCAGCCCTCTATTTGGTAATATGTACAAGTTTAGAATTTCTTTCTGGCTGTTATATTCTACTGTCACTGGCAGCACACCACGTGGTCTTACTTGTTTTTACCAGTATATGTTTTGAGAACAATGGAAGATGGTTTGAGCTTCTCTTTGCTGAAAAAGACCCTGTAATCACTCTCAGTCATAACTGAAACAGCTGAACCTGTGTCCAACTCCATTTTTACCACTTGATCATTTAGTTCTGGTATGAGCCAGATGGCGTGTTTGTCTTTTTCACCCAGACTGAACAACTGACCTATTGGTAAGCCCCGCCCCCCTTAGTTAGTGTTGGTCCCTCGGACAAACAAACGGAGCTGCTAACTGTTTTACAATGACAGCTGTCAGTGTGAAAACCTTGTCACAAGATGTTTTTGAACAATTTTGGACACAGAAGGACCACCATTCAAGTGGGAATTAAATATGCCATGGAGGGATATATAAAAGATTTTAAATTATACATGGTGGGTAATTCTCGATTAATTAACTCGATTAATTTGGAAGCAAGGTTTACAGATCACAATGCAAGCAGGAGAAGCCTCATGTTACAGTCGTCACGATCGCGGATGACAACATGCAGGATCAACACTGTTCATGTATAGCAGGGTACGATTAAATTAATTTACATTTAACCACTTTAATATGGAGAGGCACTGAAATGTAGACCTTCATTTATGTGTTTTTGACCTACACTGTATATGACGTGAGAACAGTCTGCTATTTAGGTTTGTACGCTAGCATGGACTCATTAACTTTAACGTTAGCTAGTTTTGGCCAGAGATGCCTTGCTGAAGGACAAGATAACATTAATGTTCTGCTTGAGCAGATGAAAATTGTAACTTAATGTGAGTATGACAACCAGAAAATGAAAGTTTTTGTCTTCATTGGTATTAGGGTTGAATGCTTACGGACATTTTGCTTTGTTTTGTTTGGGTTTTGGAAATGGAATAAAATAAATTCCATTGCCCATCCTCTCAGGATACCTAAATATGCCATGGAGGGATATATAAAAGATTTTAAATTATACATGGTGGGTAATTCTCGATTAATTAACTCGATTAATTTGGAAGCAAGGTTTACAGATCACAATGCAAGCAGGAGAAGCCTCATGTTACAGTCGTCACGATCGCGGATGACAACATGCAGGATCAACACTGTTCATGTATAGCAGGGTACGATTAAATTAATTTACATTTAACCACTTTAATATGGTTTGGGTATTGGAAATGGAATAAAATAAATTCCATTGCCCATCCTCTCAGGATACCTGGAATCAGTGATACAAGGCACATCTTTTTTCCATTTTTTAGCATAAACACCATCAAACCGATGCAAGCTTCCAATGTTTCTCTATGGCGCTGAAATCTAAAGATGTCAGAGTTCCGCTCCCTGTGCAACTGATACTCGACTGCCATTGGCTCATCTGTGTTCGAGGGGAGGGGCTTACCGATAGGTCAATTCCAGACTGGCCAATGCATCCTCACTGTCCTTGCCCAATACCTCATTCATTTTATGCAAATTTATCTTTTCAGTGCAATATAACTTGTCAAGTCAAGTCACCTTTATTTATATAGCGCTTTTAACAATACAGATTGTGTCAAAGCAACTGTACAGCATTA